CGAGATACCTTTTCACAATGCTTTACTTTTTCAAGGCCCGTGCTGCTTTATTTTTACAAGGCCTGAGGCCTATATCGGGTAAAGGCCCTTTTACTTGGGCACCGGGCCCGTTTATTTAAGAAAAAGAAAAGGTACCAGTAGGAAGTCAGTCCCGGTCAGTGGCAGCTCAGTCCCAGGAAACAGATGAGGTGGTTAACCAGGGGTAATATTTTCGGCGAATTTGCACTGAAACTGTCACATTGTGCTGATTTTTTTTCTTGTTTTTCTTTGTGTGTGATATATATGTGCTTTAGGGTACGTACGTCATGTGCCCAATTTTGACATGTTTGGATCAATAATGAAAAAGTTGGCATTTTGTTGGGTGAATTCGTTGGACGCTTCATTTTAACTCCGACAGTGTTTTTGGGCCTCGCTGCACTACTCTCGAAATGTGCAAAACGAGCGCGAATCTTCCGCTAGAATATGGAGAGATACACGGCAATGATTTTTGTCTTTTGTGCATGTCGAGAGTAGTGCAGCGAGCCTGTTACATGCCCAGTTGGGCGATGTACATATAAACCGAGGATCCGCAATGTGATAAAAAGGACTGAATGGATAATACAGTGCAAGTGGAATCTCAACAAGCAATGTGCATTCCGATACATGCATACAAAATGGTGCTTTATAGCGCAGGGAAGACTTTAGATACAAGTCGTGACCTGACCGGGACTGACCCTCTTTCACGTAGTACAAGATAGCGAAGCAGAATGCTAGAATACTAATGACTAGCCCAATCAATGTTTCAACGCAGACCAAACATACATCATGCGCATCACAAGGTGTGAAGGGGCCTGGTGCTATACACAGGAAAGAAGCGCCAGGTCCAGACATACACAGACGAAAAGGAGGGGATCAGACGAAGAAGAGGAAGGGGGAGATGGAAGTCGTCAACACCAAGTCTCGTTACAAGTCCCAAATAATCCCTCGTCAAAATGTCTGAAGTCCAACGTCGAGTGTGGATCCAAATGTCACTTTCGAGCAGGTGTGGCTGCCCACCGACTCGGAGGGGGAATGCTCTTATCATCCCCTCTAGCAGGTTAACTGTAAAAAAAAAAAAAAAAAAAAAAAAGAAAAGAAAAGAAAAGACAACTGCGCCTGTGACCGGTGCAGCGTTCTGAATTCACTTCCAGTACACTGCAAGTTCGGGCCCAGAGCAGTTTGAAACTGCAACAAGAAACAGTAAATGATGCCTTTGACGGCATGCCAGTTTAACAATTGGCAAAACGGGAGGTACTGGTACCAGTCGTTTTCTCGTGGGCGTGGCCTAGGCATCTTGGCCATGGTCCAGCCACGGGGCATGGCCTAGAGATCTCGGCCATGGCCCAGCCGTGGACGTGCAAAAAA